CGATTTCTCCCAAGTGTGTCTTGCAAGGTGCCAAGGCAAGCGCCTTCAATCGGGCGCTCGCCTTTGTGCGCCTCTCGCTTGAGGCAAGGTGATCGCCTTGTTGAAGCAAGGCGATCTGCCTTATTTTTTTATTTTTATTCTTATTTTTTTAATACGTTTTGAAAGTCCTCTCCTCCCTTGTGAATTACCTCCAAGTCCAAACCCTAACTTCTCAGTTTTCATTCTCTCTGCCTCTCGACTTTCACCCTCAATCTCAGACCATCGCTGCCGCCTCCTCCTTCGTCTGTCGCTGCTGCCGCGGCCTTCTCCTCCGACTTTCGAAGGTTTCTTTCTTTTTTTTTTCTTTTTTCTTATTATTCATTTTCATCTTTTTCATTTCACACCAATTTTTTCTTAAATCTATTCCAGGCTCCAGTTTTTCTTAATGTTGCTTGTCTTTATTGGGAACTAAACTTATAGAATTTGGTTATTTTAGGTATCTTGTTGACATTTACTATGGCACTATTTTGGTATTGATTTTTTAAACTATGTTTACTATATAAATTTTTATGCACTATATATATAATTTTTATTTATTTATTAAGATGCGTCTCGCTTCACCAGGACGTTGCCTTTGTATTGCCACTCGCCTCAAGGCGATCAAAGGGCTTGTCGCCTTGAGGTGTGCCTTGTGCCTTGAAAACACTATTCATGTATGAAAAGGAGAAAATAACTGTTATCCAATAGGTTGTAATACAACGAGCTACTATATAAATAGCCAGCCTTTAAACTATTTTATTAATTAACAAAACTTCCTCTCCTTAGACTTCATGAACTGCTGTTGCTTTGGGACTGCATAAGACTCGAACGGAATATTGACTGCATAAGACTCGAAGGGAATATTGACTGCAGAAGACTCGAAGGGAATATTGGGCTCATTATTCTAATAAATCTAGCTTTATACAGCCTAGAGCTGTGGTAGCTTGGTTTTGCCCAGCCTAATTAAATGGTGCAGATGAATGAATTACAGATACCTCTTATATATGAAACGAGACTTGTATTATAGACGGAAGCCATACAAAAGGAGGATGACATATTCCGACCAAGCCAAAGGGATTACAAAAAGATCCCCAACCAAAAGTTCTTGACATAGAACACCAAGTAGAAGAAAAAATCCCAAGTCCCAAAAAGAGACATAGCAACATTCATCTCCTTCAAACACCCTTCTATTCCATTCAAACCAAAACCTCCAAAGAAACACCGGCACTACACTGGTCCAAGAGGAGCTAGAAAAGAGCATCCGAAAAAAGCTCTTAGGGAAGCACCAGCTCACACTGAAGATATTGAAGAGGTCCCCCCAACAAGAAGCAGCAAACGGGCAGAAAATAGATAAGACTTAAGAGGGCTTGATCCTCCATATTATTTATGCATGTAACACACCAGCAAGGGAAAAGCACGGTGCTAAAAAATCTTGTTTTGACCCTATTGCACGTATTCAGCCTTCCAAAGGGAAAAATCCACAAGAAAACCTACACTGCCTAGGAATTTTAGCCTTCCAGATTAGATTCACAAAATGTTGGCTGAGTATGGCTGTGGCATGGTTCTCTTCTCACTGAATTTAGGCACCAGAGATCAAGCAGGGAAAGCACCACTTCCTTGAAGGAACCACACTATTTCCTCTTTCTGATTATTGAGAGAAAAACCAGCAAGGAAGACTTGAGAGGGAGGCCCAGTCCTCAATCTCATTTTCTGTTAAGCTCCTCTAAAAAATGAGATCTCATCCCTTTAAGGCTGTAAATCATCGGGAATACCATTAGGATAGAAGTTAGAAATATTATTAGGGTATTAAGGGTATATTAGTCCCTAGTCAAGGAATTGGTTATAAATAGAACGGGTGGGAGAGATGAAGGTGGGCATAAATATAAGTTGGTTTAGGCTTGTGCGAGCTTAAGGACATTTCAAAGACCCACATACTTGGAGACTTATCCTAGTTCCTTGGTTACTATCACAGACCAGCAATGTCAAATTAGAATCTTTTGAATTGCCAACTTAAAGAGCCTTGGGAAAGCCTCATGAAGAGGAGTATTCAGAATCCGCAGGTCTTTCCAAACCAAATCTTGTCTCCCTTGCCAACAACTTGGTACCATTTATTAGTAAGCTTACGACAAGCAACAACGGAGACCCACGGACCAATGAGGGCCCATTAGAGATTGGATATAATTCCTCTTTGGATAGCTGGAATTTATTAGCAATAATATTCCTCCAGAAGGCATCCTTTTTATCCATGAAACGCCATCCCCATTTGGCAAGGAGGGCCAAATTCCCAGCATTTTAATATTTTCAACACCAAGGCCCCCTCCTTTATAGATGGTCAAAGAAGTTAGCTCCCACTTAATGAAGCTATAGCCACCCCACTTTTGCAACCTTTCCAGAAGAAATCTCTAATCATGGACTCCAATCTCCTCACAATCTTTCCCAGGCAAGTGAATTACAGATACTTGCATTTGGACAAAGTATGTTCAATTTATGGGTTTGTAATTGATGAAATTAAATGTGTGGTTGAGAGGTATTGAAAGTTTAGGTTCATATAACACGGATTTATATTTTGAACAGGAAACGTACTTTTTATTGATAAAATGATAAGGTACAAGCAAGATACCACCCATTAGAATAAAAAAGAATCAGACCCCAACAAAGATGCATGATTTTTGTAGTGTACCAGAAAAGTAACGTTGTTCTCGCAGACATACAAGAGGTAGTAAAATGTCTGAGTTCACTGAACAATACAACTTCGTTGATTTTAATTTGAACAGAAAAATTACTTTTTATTGATAAAATACAAAGGCAGAAGCAAGATACAAAAAAATTCCCATTAGAATAAAAGAGAACCAGCCCCATAAATCACACAAAAAAGATGCATAATTTTTAGAGATGTAATGTGCAAGCTAAGGAAGCAAAGTTTTTCTAGCGATGATAAGAGAACTTGAGAAATACTAAAATTTCAGAGTTTATTAAAAGAATACAACTAAGATAGTGGATTTTAATGTTGAAACCAAACAGCCCATGTACCAATAAAAACTACGTGCTTTTGAAAAAACAAAATTCTTTTTTTTTTTAAGAGAAAGATGCTATGACAAATTCTATTGGAATTTACTAAATTTTATATAGTAGTACCTCGACCAGTTTCATCTTCTTCATAGGTCGGTGCTGAAATGACTTGTTAAGACATGAAACCCCACACTTGCAGCCTGAAGAACAGCTAGACAGCAGCATCCTACAGATACAAGACATCAAATTAATGCAGCAACGGGGTTCAAAGCATTAGACATAAATCAACAAGCTTGACTGCAAAGAATATAAATGCGTAGACCACTCATTCACAACTGGGCATCAGAGTTTCCAATGGGAGAACTTTACCATTTCACTCTTGAATGTTATGCCCCTTTTCTATCCAATAAATAAATAAATAAAATCATACCTACTGTTTTTTTGGCCTAAATTATACAAAATGACCTTGAACTACGCAGTTTTCAATTTTCCATAAAATGTTTAAGAATAAGAAGTTTCAATTCTAATCCCAATATTTGAATTTGTTTCAAAATAAACATTGGTTAGCAACTCCCATGAAAATACCTAACATAAATTAAAAGGTTAGAGCCTAGAGGGACATTGAAATTGGAAAAATTGAAACCAACTATTTACGTGAGGGGCACTTTGTATAATTTATTTGGTTTCAATGTTTGTTCCTATCATTTTAAGAATTCCAATAATAATGGAGTTTTCTATTGCAAGGTTTTCTTTGTAACAAATTAAAAGGTTGAGGATAAAAATTAAACTTTTAAAGCATTAAGGAAAAACTGAAAYCCACATAAACGGGCAAAATTGTAACACTTCCAATACTGCTTCATTTTATAAATGAAAAATGAAGCTATCAGAAAAGGAGAAAACTAAATTAAGCAGGATAATACATCCCGCCAAAGAGAATAGCCTACATTAATTATCATAAGCTGAAGCCTGTTTCAGCCAATATCGTAAGAAATTTTGAAGTATTTGGACGTATTCTTCATCATCACTCTCATACAACGAGGTTTACTCTCTTCTCCTTGGTCAGCATCTTCAAGATAGTCTGCTTGATTACAAAAGTGCGAGTACTTCTCTTTCATAGGCTTCTACATTCATGCCTGGTTATGTTGTTACTTATGAGTTTTTCTAACAAAAACAAATCTTTCCTTGGTCACAAGCAGTTTCAACCTTGGTTACATAACCAAATGACGATGCACTTTTCCCTAGGAAGGAAATTTCAATCAGAAAAATCATGAGACCAATGAGGCAATTTGCATTCAGATCCTTAAGAACTTGTTGGTCCACAATTTTTAATGTTTACACTAGGAATGGTTTAAAGGGAAAACTCATCTGACAGTTAGTTAATCAATGGTTGACAAATTTCGCAAGGGGTGGGACGGTGAGGTCATTATGGGTGAGATTTGGTGTGGGAGAGTTGGCCAGCATCACCCTTTTGGCTATATATCCTAGTAGATAAAGAGTTGGATACCTTAAATTCTGATATCAAAGCACGTGCAGCCTCCAAAATATGGTAGAAAAGGTGGGGGAAAATGGAGGAAATGTTGATACTACAGGGAAAGAAATGGGAGAGAAAAGGGAGGTTCTACATATAACTCCAATGCTCGAGAGGTCAATTGAGCATCTAGCTCAACATGTAGCTCAAATGATAATGACATTCAAGAACACTCAGCAAACTACAGTGACTATTATCACTGAACAGTCCAATGGGAAGCAAAAATAAACAGCGGTTGCAGTCTGAAGTACGGAGGATTCAGCCAAAAAAGAAGAAAAGTACTAAGGAAGGGGAGTTTATTGTCGGGGACAAAATTTATCAAGGGTCAATATAAGTGAGACTCAGCAGCTGAAGGAGAAGCTTAGAACCCAAAGTAAATTTAAGGTGGAGATGCCCATTATTCTCAGGGAGAACTAAATGCCACTTTGATATTCACAAGTTGACATACTCAAAGAAGATAATTGTGCAGTAGAGAGCTTTAAAAGCAAAGCACTGTCATCGCTAGGTAGAGAATTGGAAGAGTTTCAAGAATTGGGATGATCGTGAAAAACTAATTATTCTTGTGTTTCCTGCTCTCACAAGAAGGAACCCCATGATGGCCACCTACCTTAAAAATTTAATTCCTATGTGTTTTCCGGCACCAAATATTGTAGTGTTAGGCGGTTGTCCGGTGAGATCGGTCGAGGTGCGCGCAAGCTAGCCCAAATACTCATGGATGTCAAAAAGAAGTAAACTCCGAAGTTGTAGTTTTGCGCTTTATTAACTAGATGTAACTTTTTAAATATCAATGAAAAGTTTGTTTCTCCAAAAAAATATCCACCATACCATACAAATTCCTAATTTTGGTCATTGAGGAATTTATTGGATGAGCTGCAAGAATCAACTGAAAAGGATGTTCTTAAAGCAACCTTTCGCAAAAATTAGTGATATTATGAGTTTCGAGTAACGTTAGTGCCAGCCAAACATTCTTCTTTTTTTCCGAACACGGAAACAAAACTTGTTATTGGTAAATGAAAAATTACTAAGGAAGATATAAAACCGTCCAACAATAGAACATAAATAGCCTAACCAAAACCCAAAAATACAATAAGCACTCAAAAGCTCAACCACATAGCTGAGAAGATTACATAACTTTCACAAAACCCAAGCACACTAAACCCAAACTGAAAACCAAAATAATACACAAATCCCAAAAATACAATAAGCACTCAAAATCTCAACCACAAAGCAAAAAAGATTACATAACTTTCACAAAACCCAAGCACACTAAACCCGGACTGAAAACCAAAATAAGAGCCTAAGAAAAAACCAAATAAATACTTTGATAGAACCCGAGATATATTGAAATATAAAATATAGAAGAACTACAATATAACTCAAATATTAGAGGTACTTGGATCCTCCCTTCTTGAGATATCACCGAAGCCTAAACCACTACACAATTTCCATAGCCTCAACCTTACCCACTCACCATATTATAACAGACATATTTATAACAGAACCCTGCTATTATACACTTCCTAACCAGCAAAACAACCAACAATCAAAGAGAACAGCACCGAAGAAATGAGAAAAAAACTTGCTAGAAAAATAGAAATAAACTCCTCTCCAAGAAAATCCATTGAAAAGCCAGGCAGCGAACAACAGCACAACTACTTAGAGGACTTTTTGTTCTTTTCCAAGCTCTTCTTTCTCCTTTCCATTTGAGATTGGAACTAAAGTTATACCAGCCATATTTCAAGTATTAATGAGATTTTTTCTCTCATTTACATGAGTTGGTCTTGGTATTTTTCTATGGTATATTAGTGTATAGCCTTGGTCTTCATACACACTTCACCCATCTTGCCACCATGTTTAACATCTTGAGGGACAACAAATTATACACTAACCTAAATAAATGCCAACTTTCAAAAAACAAGATAGAGTATCTCAAGCAATGGATTTCTTCATAAGGAGTTGAGGGGCTTCGGGCAATGCTTCAATGACCGATTCCGAAGTCCTTGAAAGAGCAAGTAGTATGAGTGAGGTCATTCTATCATTTTTGGCAAGGTTTGGTGTAGGGAGAGTTGGTTTGTCCACTCAAATTGGCTGTGCAAGGTCTGTAATCTTAGCTACTCTCTTTTGTTGTCCAAGGTGGAGGTAGAATGAATGAGCTCTCAAATGTGTGTGCTCTCAGCACCCTTTTAGCTATCTTTCCTAGTAAAGGTAGAGTTGGCTACCTTGCATAAATACACTATAAGCTCTTTCTTGGAGTTCTGCACTCTAATAATAAAAAATGGGGGTAGGGGAAAGAGAGTGATTATCATTCTTGCCATTATTTCAGGAGAAGTTCAAAAGGTGTTTCACTTGGTCTTTTTTTAATTAGAAACCAGATCTTTAATTAAGATAAATGAAAATATATACAGGCAACTCATAACAAACCAACCAACCCTTATTCCTCTACCTCCTTTATGCAACTTTTAGCTTTAGGGGCAGGCTGGACTGGCTGGAATGTCAAGTCTAGTTCATTGGAGGGTGGGGTCTAAGCCATTGGACATCCAAAGAAGAAGAATTAAGCTATTTTAACCAAATGGCTTTGGATATTTTCAAAAGAATCAGATGGATTGTGGCATTTTGAGTATGGTTGGCAAAATTCAAAGAAAGTGTCCACACTGGTCCTTAAATCCTAGCTGCTGTCAAAATTGTCTTAAGGCTGGAGAAAATCTCCATCGTCTCTTTTTTTCATTGTTTTACAGCAAGCAATTGTGGGAGGCTTCCTTTCATATTTTGGTTAATTTTGGGTTAGCTATTTCAGGGCATTCTTTGTGGCCACAGTTTCAAAGGAAAAGCAAGAGTCTTATGGGTAAACAATACTAACCTTTGATTTGTGGAATTTGGCTTCAAAGAGAAAAGGGGGCTTTCGAAAACAAAAGTACCCCCGCTATGAATAATGCTTTTGTTCTGGCCTTCATGCTCTGCTTTATCCAAAGTTTTTTAAAGTTAATAACTTCTTCCTTCTTTATCTTTTTTATCTTTCCTTTATTTTTTTTTTTTTTTGAGAAGAAATAGAGAATGTATTGTTATTAATTTCCCTGAAATTATTTCTTGTTGGACTGCTTTCTTCTAACTTTTCAACTTATGGTCTTCTTAGTTCCAGTTTTGTAGGTTTTGTTATATCATTCTTTAGTAGTTTCTAGTTCATAATTTTTCAAACATCAATGAAAAGTTTGTGTTTTTTAGGTCAAATGATTAACAAAGAAACCAATCTGCTCCATATTACATTGCCTAGGCAGAAATTTTACAAGCTAAATTTCCTAAAATTAGGATGGAGAAAAGGAAAAATAAAAAACAAAAAAGAATTCCATCAGTCATAATACTAAGGAACCTTAGTGGTAAATTGCTTACCCACAATGACAATCCCTATCGCAGACACCTGGAGATCCCTGTGTAGGGCTACAAGAACAAAATATCCCATCATCCTCAATGCGTCTTTTAAATTTCTTTGTGAGGTAGACATCTAATATTTGTCAACATCAACAAACAGGAAATAATGGGGAAATAAATGGATAAGAAATTAAACAGGTACTTATATCACTTTTTAGTTTTTACCCAATTTCAGACAAATAAAATGCACTGCATGTTTTCAGCCAATAAAGTTATAATGAAATGGTTAATGGCATTATTTGTTAATCTGCCTATACACTGCCCCTTAATTTGAAAACCTACAGTAATGGAAAATATGTGAGACCTATCGAAGGAGAAGCTCCCTCCTTCCATGAGCAACTTTACCATTGTCCAAGGTAAGCAAATTTCATTAATGATAAGTACGCACTTCAAATGATAAAAAGAAAACAAAATTAGTAAAGGATACTACGCCTAATGAAGGTATACGGCATAGGCTTCCATTTATTAAACCAATCAGGAAGTTCAAAGTCAACTGGATTTCCAATCTGCCTCATCAACTTGTGGAAAACATTCCCAATCCGACTGCATTCAGAATTCTAATCAAATGGGAAATGACATGGGTGAGAACTTGACTTATTTTTTTAAGCAATAAGATAATCAGATAATGAAAATAAATCGCAAATCTACAGAACCTAACAGGGTAACTTAACATATAAATATGCAAAACAATATGAGCAGATTTCACCAATAGAAAAACACACAAAACCCAGATTGGACTATGAACGAAGTACATTCTGATAACAAAACTCAAAGAAAGCTTACATTAAAATTAAAAATTTATATAATTAAATAAGACTTCTCCACTTAAATTAGAATAGGAAATTCTAAGGGAAAATGCACTTATAGAAAGCTTGACTAATTAGAATATACCAATTTTACTTTGGTTTGTCAGATTGTTTTGTAACCATTGATATGGGTTTCCCACGGTGTTTCATCAGTTTTGAAGTTTGAGGCACTAGATTAATTTTGTACAGCGAAACTAAAAAAATATGCGGGCAAGATGGAAAAATATATATTTATTTCTATACAATCTAATGATTATCAAAATAAAAATTTATTTCAATTTAATTAAAAAAAAACATCCAACCAACTCAACATTTTCGTGTATCTTAAGCAAATTTAAGGCATAAGCAAGTCAATAATTCTTATGCTTGCTCAAAAATCAATTTGGATGGGACAAAAAAACTAATGCAGCATCCAGCAACATAAGGCGATAATGGCCACTGATTCAGTACTTTCTTTGCCCAACTTTGATGAAGAATTTGTGGTGGAGACAATTGCGTCTGGGTATTGCTTGGAGTCCACTCTCATGCAACATCAAGACCCAATACGCTTACTTTAGTCAAGTACTATCAGCTACAGCAAAACAATCAACTATGAGAATGAGGGAGTTGATGCAAATGTCCTCATCATCCAAAAATGGCGGCCATATTTGCTAGGCAAGAAGCTCATCATCTGAATAAAACAAACAAGTCTAAAAGTACCTCCTTGACCAGCAACTAGTAAGTAAAAAACACCAAAGGTGGCTAACAAAGCTTAAGAGGTACAACTTTTAAATTCATTATTGAAGAACAAGGCAGCAGAAGGTGACCTAGTGGCAGTTCAATAGTAAGGAGGAGAAATTAGGCATATAGCGAGATACAGATGGAGATCCGATTCTGAGCAAAATTAAGCAAGCCTCCACGATGGGAGATAATGCTACACACCCTTACTTTGCGATAGCTAAGCACCAAGGATGAAGAATTTTCAGTAGACAACTAGGTTTATCTAAAAATTGCAACCTATAGACAATGCTACACACCCTTACTTTATGTGGCAGGTCTGCATGGAGAATTAGCATCTTAGATTGCGTTCAGGCATTCCTCCTTGACCATCTATTGTGGAGTTGTTTGTTCGCACAAGCTTTATGTAGTCACTTTGTGAGAGTTTTTGGAATCTACGGGGGGCACGTACGTAATAGAGATTGTTGTTCTATGATGGAAGAGGTTATCATGAATCCCCCTTTTCAAGATAACAACATCATTCTCTAGCAGACTTGTTTCTTTGCTATTACGTGGAGTATTTGGCTTGAGAGGAATAGTATACTTTTTAGAGGGTTTGAGAGATCCTAGGAAGAGACGTGGGATATTGTTAGGTTTAACACCTTTTTGTGGGCGATTACTAAACTGGTCAATAATTATTAGTTAGTTGTTATTCTTTTGAATTGAAGTTCATTTATGGATAGGTAGTTCTAAGTCACCTCCTTGAGAGGCAACTTTTTGTCTGCACTTGTATTTTTCTTTCATGTTGCTCAATGGAAGCTTGGTTTTTCATTAAAAATATATAAAAAGGATCAATTGCAATTTCATATAGAATCAAACTTATCTACTTCATGATTCATAAAATTCCTTCAAGAAGAAGACGGACTTTCCTCATCAAATAAAAGTTAACAAATCACTACAAACACCAGCAGTTAAGGCACAGGAACATGATCATATATGGAGACTTCAAACTAAATCAAGAGAACAAAAGATGCAAAAGTAATTCAGAAATTAAAGATTATTCTTCTATTCTCTATGTCATAAATAGGAATGTAACATGATATACTGCACATAAGCAAAGATCAATTCACCGAAAAACAATAAAACTTCAGACTACCTTTTTTATAGCAGGCATGACTCGGGAAGAGTTGCCACTTGCCACTCAGGATAAGGTTAATCATTTGTCGACGTAATCAAACCTACAGGTTAGCTTTTAAAATTACGAAAAATAATGCGCATATAATCCAAAATCCAAGAGCAAAGAGTTTGCACGCGATGTTAATTGAAACGTGGTCGGTAAAGTAACCAAAAAACACAAACGTCCATGCACCACCACAAAACATGCGAGTGAAATAACACACGACATGAATTCTTTTCCAGCAAATTATAGCCAAAAAAGAAGGAAAAAAAATTGAACTAATGCTGAATTCAGCATTCTCGAAGCACAAGTTGGACTCGAAGCCGATATGTTGAGGAAGTGAGATGCACGCAAAAACATAGTAAGGATAAGAATACAAAATCTTGAAGCAACAACCCATCAGAATTTGACACAAAAAGACGACAAAAGCATCCCAATAACCATAAACCAAATTACAAAAGTAAAGAACAAAAAACCAAAGATCGGGAAAACAAAACACGAGTAGTAACTTGATGAAGATTACGCAAAGGAGTGGGAAAAGGTTAGGGGCCGAAGATTGCTTTTCCCGTAGGCGCCAATCAATCAAATGAAAAAAGAAGAAAAAAAAACATATCAAAATGAGAAGAGCTAAAATCTCAGTTACAGCAAGCAGAAATGGAAGGAGAAGAGCGAAGAAAATGCACTCTCCCGAGATAAAAAGATGACCGGACGTGAAAAACTGAAGAAATTCCGGCAACTTAGTTGAATTCAGGCTCCATGGAAGGCCTAGAAGAGGAGAAAATCGAAGAAAATTACCTGGATGGAGAGCCTGCTGCCATGAAAGGCCGAAGGAAGAGAGAGAATGGAGAAATTGAGTTGAGAGAAATGAGTGAGTGAGAGAGTAGAACTAGAGTTGGTTGCTTCAGCGAAGAAGATGACGCGGATCGAGGAAGAGAAGTTGAGACTATAGGCTCCTAGGGCTGCCCCATATATGTATTAATTTAAGGTCTACTTTTCCGTATATGTCCCTCGGTTTTTATAATATATGCTACTGAAACAAGGTTAATTTGGTAAACTACCTGCCCTCCGAAGCTCCTACCGTGCAGTCTACATTTTCGTCGGGTGTTTTAACATGCCAAAAGACAAAGAAGAGAAGAATTTTGCGAAAAGAGAGGGAACACAACAAGAGCTGCTGTATTTCGCGACTGCCTTTCGAATTAGTGTTTGATAGCTCTCAATTTAAAAATGGCTTAAGTGGGTTTAGTAACATATTTTCTTAAATTATTGTGGGTTGAAAAACGTATTTTTGCTCCGTGTACTTTAACTAAAGTAACAATTTAGTCTCTGAACTTCAGTTTGTAACAATTTAGTCCCTATACTTTCCCTAAAGTAACAATTTAGTCCCTGAAATTTAACTTGTAACGATTTAGTCCCTGTAGTTTAAAATTTGTAACAATTTTGTCCCTATCGTAAAAAGTTTTATTAAAATTAAGTGTCAAATTTTATCATATAACAATTTAATCTTTATAATTCATAAACATATTTGGTCTCTCTTTAGTTTATCAATCTATACATACAAGAAACTTAAAAAAAAAAAAAATCAGTAAGGACTAAGTTGTTACCAACTTTAAAATACAAAGACTAAATTGTTAATATTAAAGTTCAATGACTAAATTGTTACCAATTTTAAAGTACATGGACTAAATCGTTACAAACTAAAATTCTTGGACTAAATTGTTACTTTAGTGAAAGTATAGGGACTAAAAGTGTTTTTTAACCATTATTATTAGTTAATGACTAAATATTTTGCTCAATTTGAAAT